TCACACGGTGTTCCTACCAGATGTCAACCAAACTGCGAAGGCACCGGTGGTCGAACGTGACTAGCTTCTTTATGTCTGCTGATCTAGTGGGCCAGGTTTCGCAACCGTGCAGTGAGGTCGAACGTGTCGTTGCGTTATACGCTCTACCCTTCCGAGCGAGAATGATGTCGCGCCGCCACCATAGGTGACGAAGGCTAGCAGAAGCACTTCGAGCTTTTGCTATACCGTTCGTGATTTCGTCTTCGATCCCAAAGGCACTGATACAACTTCCAAGGTAGTTGAATTGCTGATCGACTTCTAGCTGATCCCCACCAAGGGTCAGCGCAGAAGGCGACCCCTTCCAATTTTGGAGTAAAGCTTTGTAGTTCGATGGCGAAGTGACGAACAGTTGGTGCTAATTTGTCCATTGCCGCGTGGCACGTTTGTGAGCTTTCACAGTTTAGTGCAATATCATCGGCATTCTGTAAGTCAAGAAGTCGCTCTCCTGGGAGTTGCTCCACACCTTCTAACTCGTGTCCTGTAAATGAACTCTCCGTCAATAGCGAAGTTGAAGAGTAATGGTGACAACGGGCATCCTTGTCTCACACCGCTGGAGATGTTGAAGGGCGGCGATAGGTTGCCGTGCTACGCGGGTGTTATCAACACTTGTTGTTGTTGGTATTGATAACAATATAGTTACAACACAAAATTGTAAACTCGCGCTAAATGTTGAAGTACGCATACAGACAGTAATAGATCTCTTTGTCGGTTCGAGGAAGTTGGTTTAAGTCAAACAGAGTGCAACATGAAGGGAGTGATTTACATCAGTGAGTCTTTCTGATGCAACCCTTTTGCATGAACTGGTATGAGTACACCGAATAATGTGAACAAATCTCGACTTTAGAATTTCACTACATCGAGACCGTTTTGCATCAATGACCTGTCCAGCGCCTTGAAGTGATTCCTTAAGAAATCAGAAAATGTCACAGCAGTAGGTGCACGAGAGTATGACGTAAGTGGTGATAAATCATGTTGCCAAGTAGCGGCGAACAGAAGTGGATCACAGACGGGCAGCGTGACAAGAAATCCTCACTTTTGTGAAAACTTTATTCACATGAAATGACCGAAAAAGATCACGGCTGAGTGTGACACCTCGATAATTAACTGACGCAGTGAAGTGAAACCCCTCGCCGTCTGTGTGAAGTTCAGGACGATTCATGACAAGCTGCTGATATGGACGGCCTTTGGGTAGAGGAAATGGTATGTCGTTGGATATTGATGCATTCAGCGATAAAAACTTATATCTAGACCACAATACAAGGCTGTCCAGCTTGGCTTACAATCCAATGACACTGTGGTCGGAAGTCGGATACCCATGACCACGTCAACATATCGCTTCCTCAGGGACAGGTAATCAGGCGACGTAACTGGAAAAGGGGTATGGATAGATAGTTTGGCTCCTTGAAGAACTCTCGCGACAGTGCTGAGCAGCGTGGATCTTTTACCCTCCAAGTCGAGTCAACTGAGCACGTCCAGCGAAATAGTCCCTCCGCAAGTGGAACATAGCAGACTGCATTCCGGCCTAATGTACATCTCCCAAATGAAGTTCACGGTTCACAATGCCGAAAACCCTACTGTATCTGAGAAAACATATTTCTACGGCTTTGTTCATTTTGTTTAGGGATGCCAGCACTGTATGTACAATGTAGACTAATGCGTCTTGATTAGCCCCTTCGAACTACGGCAAGCAAGCTGAGGCGAATCATCAGGATGTGTTTGAGTCAACATCTTTCCAACAATAATCTCCTCCAAGACCTTAAAGTTCACTGACGTGCAGACAACTGGTCGGTTTCTATTTGAATCTTTCTTCGGTGCTGGTGTAAGTCTAGCACATCTCCAACAGTTAGAAATCTTACATTTCCTCATTCACATTGCATACAGGTCAGCAATGTGCTGGGCCAATATTTTGGCACACACTTTGAGGACAACCACAGGTAATCCGTCTGGGCCACCTGTTGGCTGCAGCAGTTTATTGAGCACTGTATTTCTGTCATTGGCCGATGAAGAGCTTATGGGACTGTCCGTTCGGAGGGATGAGGGCTACGAAATGGTGCTAGCACTGAAACAACCAAACTTTAGATTCAGTTCACGTCTGGATTCGTCACTCGGTGAGAGGCTCCACCAGGTTTCCTGACTGCTATTAACTATCTCGGCATATTGTCTGGACATATAACTGCTTTAGACGGCGCAACTCTACTTTGATATGAATTGAAAGAGCTTCCACTGTTTTCTCTTTGAGTGTACACAAGTATTTTAAATACGGGGGTGAAAACCGATCTGCGCGGATGAAAATAGCTTCTATTGCACACTAATTATCAAAACAGAAGTTGCGGTGGCTCGTTTAGTAGTCACAGTACGCATTTACATCAGTGTGAAAAAGTCCATAGTTGCAGTCCTTTCTTCTGGTCGATATATGTTCTGAGGTGAGCCTTTTCTTCTTCTAAGCTTACGATCTTTACAGCGTGTGGGTTCCATATGGTTTATTTTGCTGTAGACGACAGGAGATAACTTGATTTTTGAATGATTAGAGCTATCAATCGGTACTTGATTGCACACACACACACAAACAAACAAAAACACCATCATTATGCACGTTAGCTGAAGGTGGAAAACACCCCAGCTATTGTGCCGCAATACAAAAGACAAGAAAAGGAAAACCAACAGTAGCACGCCGGCTGAGTCCCCAGTAACGGATGGACATCATTCCGGACAGCTAACAGCTGGCTATCGTGTCGTAAAAGATAGTAATTTTATGCCTGTAGAGTGAGATCGTGATTGGAGGGGATGCTAAGCGGGAAGCAGATGGACAAATAAACTCACAACACAAAAGCCATTGGGGTCGGCTCCAAGCCATATCAGCAAGTGTGTCCAGCCAAACGTGTTCACCGTCCTTAGGACCCCAGCCAGGCAGTCGGGATGCACCAACCCACGCCAACTTCGAAGTGAGGGTTTTCATCTCTCTCGACCAAGTCATCGCTTGGCCTCCCCTCCTCCTCTTCCAACCGCACCCACAACGCGAAAACAATGCACGTCGCGGTAGTCGGTGTGCTGGCATGCGCAATACGTGGGCCCAACCATTGGAGCTTGGTGCGTGATATAATGGTGCTGAGCGGTTCACTCGCTCTTCCTGCACCAAATACGCGACGCCGAACACGCTCATTGCTCACGTGGTGCTCCCACCAAACATGGGCTAAGCTGCAAAGGCAGCGATGATCGAATGTGACGAGCCTCTTTATGTCTGTCGACCTGATGGACCAGGTTTCACAACCATATAGGAGAGTTGAACGGACAGCTGCGTTATAAACTCTGCCCTTCAGGGCGAGAGTAATGTCGCGTCTGCGCCCCAGGTGGCGGAGATTGGCAAAAGCACCTCCAGCTTTCGCTATACGGTCTGTAATCTCATCTTCGATCCATCGGGCGCTAATATAGCTGTCCAGGCATTTAGATTCCTGAACGACTTCTTGCTGATCACCACAAAGCGTTAGCGCAGAGGTGGGTCCCTGCCAATCTTGAAGAAGTACTTCGTATTTCGATGGAGCAGAGCATAGCCCAAACGATTGACAGCCAGTGCTAATCGGTCCAGTGCTGCTTGGCATGTTTGAGAGCTGTCACAGATTAGGGCAATATCGTCCGCATACGCTAAGTTAAGAAGTTGCTCACCAGGAAGTAGCTCCACCCCTAGTTCGTGTCCAGCGAACGCTGTTTTCATGACTTCATCAATAGCGAAGTTAAAGAGGAAAGGGGACAGCAGACAACCTTGTCTTACACCGCTGGTGGCGAAAAACAAACAAACAAAATTAACTACGCATTGTCAGCAAATCTATAGCTTTGGGTTGTTTTTTATCTGGTGGTGAAGTTCGCAATATTTTGCTCTCTGAGATCCCTGAGAAAAATGGTATCCAATCTGTATCCAATCTGCTGATGTGAACTGATCCTAAAAATGCTCTGCTTCAGACATGGAACAGGTGTTGGTAATATAGATATTTGCCAGCAAAATCGATTGGCAGTCGCTTAAATTGACATGGCGAGGAGTCGAGCTCAATGGATTCTGTGTTGTGAGTCAATTTGTCCCTCCCCTCCATCAAACATCTCAATCCGTTGCGTAATGTGATTTTAGAATTATGTGACTTTGTTTAGGTTTTTTAATCTGTAATGTTTGATCTTTTGTATTGCGGCACATTAGCGTACATTTTTGATGATGGTGAGCTGCCTTCACATCGTGGCTTACCGTTCAACATTAATCGGTTAACACGTAGCAACAAAAATCGAAACACCTTTTTTGACGTGCTCTACGTGGGATTTATATAAGTGATGCCACTTCCGCCACGGTTCCGTTATGTACATAGCCGGTCCACACGGCAAGTATTCTACAATCGCTACAACTGTGTCATCCACGTCTTCATGGAGCCCTGTCTCTTTAAGCATAATTACGTCTAGGTTCGAGTATTCACGACAGCAGATTGTGCTGTTAGTCTCTCCCCTCTTTTTACCATTGACCGGATATTTGAGCTAAGCTTACTGTGAATACTCATGCTCTGCATGTTGTCTTCCGTGAAGCGACCCTCCATGCAGCAGAATGCTTTTTAGTCGAATTTTTATTGTTTCTTCGTTTCAGTTTGTCTCTTATGCCTTGACCGTGCAAACACAAAACGTTCAGTGGAGTATAAACACATAGATCATCATGGCATTGAGTATTGTGGGGGAATTCGTGCAAAAAAGTAAAAATGAAACATTTCCGAAAGCGTCGGTGTTAAATAATTCTGCAGATGGAACAAAATAGCGTGGTCAGGTTCAGAGGTCCCATCGTCAATTGATGATGATCCATTCATTGTCACGCATGAAGCTCACTACTTGTGTATCAATGCCTGTTCCTCTCAATAGTGCCATATTATATGCGGTTTTTACACGAATTTCCTCGTCAGTGTTTCCTATTCTATGCCATCTTGCTGTCTTCTCTATAGGCGAACTCAGTTTGAAGGCTGACGCATTTGTGGAGAACTTGATGGACAAATCAGCTGACTTTTTGTCCAAAGTTTTTACCCCGTCTGACAGGTTTGTCCACATGTACATCGCCTATTGTTGGTTTCTTATCCACGCATCATCACACATCAGTGCTCGTCGTGGTTGTCACCATCAGCGTTATTAACTTCTTCAGTCGAAGCGTCAGTATCAACTGCGGTGCTAGTTATAGCTGTAGTACCTGTGGCATATGTGTAGTTTACGCTTGTGCCTTGCTGTTGCATAGACATACAGACGTAGAATATCCATGGCACCAAAAACCCTAGTGTGAAAACTATCAAGCTCTTCAAAGCAGACTTTCAGCAGCAAGCCGCGAGAATTCAACGGAACTGGACAGAAATCGTCGCAGCCTCGCAACCCCAACCTTGAACCGTCATAAAACAGAGTTTGAGCAGAGATTCGTAACATCTAGACTCAGACAGCCACCACACGCCCGGAAAAGCACTGTACGCGCATTTTATCCTTTCGAGAATCGTCAGCAGTGCGCACTCCACCGGACACTGGTAGGGCTCGAACCCGCAACTCGACTGTTGCCATTCCGTGGCTGAGACCACTGAGCTACAGGGGACAGCAACGGCCATTGTGATTAAGTTACTGGATGTGATATAGCACCGTTCACAATCCACTGACTTGCACGTTACTACCGTGCAGACGACATTGCAGCCCCCTCACCAAGCGCGATGTGCTTACCAAACTTAAGTGACGAAATTCTACCCATATCCCTCAACTCTCCCTACTACTCTTCTGAAATCAGCGTCTTTCTGCCTCATTTCCATTGGTCAACAGTCTGGCAGATGTGACTCGCAACTCCCTAAACTATCACTCGGCATACTTCTGCTGGTCAGATGTGTTCTCAACCCATCATGCTAACTCCGATTCTGTTGCAGCAGTTGCCGTAGCATGCTCGTTTTCGGACGCCGCTCCCTTCCTTTTTCGTGCGAATATTCCTTTAAGCACTTATTGTGGCTTGACCGCACTTTTCTTTTGCTTTTTACCCTTAGTTCTCCGCTTTTGGGTATCGGTATTTTTTCTACAAGCCTGTACACTGAAGATTGGAACTCCATCTGTTCTTCGGATTGGGCGTTACTCAACCAGCTGGCTCTCTCGCTCCCTTCTGATTGCCTTGACGCTCTGCAATCTATCGCTCACCCCAGTGACCGCATCGAACAACTCGACGGATCCACCATTCCTCGTTTGCAAACCAGTCTGAGTAGCCTACACCGGACAAACGTGACCGCTTGTCGGGCCGCTGTGCTTATGCTCCGGCGCGTGGCTCTGGCTCCAATTCGCCAGTTTTTGCAACCGGTTCCCTCGCTACCTGTTTGGTCCACCAAGCCAGATAGCGGAGATGACACCTTACCGGATTTGGCCTATTTACCTCAGGATTACATCACCCGTGTGAGTCGTCTGCACATCCCTACTCCATTGCTCTTCGAACCTTTCTCTGATACGTGCTGCACTCTATGCACCTGTACCTTGGAGCCATTTGTGATCGAATTCAGCCGTTATTCTTTTTATCATTATCGCGTAACAGTTGAGTCCCTCTTCGATTTGCGGACTCCTTCCTGCACTCGTTCACTACGAATGTTTTTCAACACGTGGCACATTTCGTTGTTGGCTAGCCACGAGACCGCCTAATTCTCAGCCACGTGTAATATTTCATAGTTAAATCCTTACTATTTTTCATTTCCACAGTTGAACTAATCACTAACACTTCGTGATGGTCCGCTGCCGTCCTCCGTGGCTCAGTTGCATAAGCAGCGGGCTAGTTGGCACGAACCACTAGCAGTCATGGGTTCGATCCTCCATAGAAGACCGAAGGATGCGCACCACTGACGAGCCCCAATAGGGCGAAACGGCCTTCTGGTGTTTTTCCGAATAGGTAGTTGACTTATCTGAATTGTCGACTGACTGCGACGAACAAAAATACACTAAACATCCAGTCCGGTTGATTGTTCCTCTAGGAGTTTAGCTTTTTCCAAACACCAGGATGAGAACTTCTATACAGCTGTAGGATCGACTCCCTACGCAGGCGTTTTTGAATAGGGTGATTCACACTGTTTCCGTATGTGTCTCTCATGACACTGTTGCTTTACCAGGCGGATACATCACCACTAGAGGTGGCTGGACAGGTTCGCTTCTCTAAGTGTTTACCTCCCCTCTGGTGATCGCATAACGGAAGCGATCGCTGTATGAGTCCATGCAAAGCGCAATTGGTTTTCCTCTATGGTGCCTACTTGATACCAACAATGCTGCACCGTGAGTGTGACAGCAACTACCCGCCACGTGGTCATTGGTATTTGCCTCTGTTGCCTCTTAATTATGTTACATAAGCACTTGGTCTCTGTGGTTGACAAGAGCTCTGCTCACTCTCCAATCAATTACTATCTGAACTCGATGGATATTGGGGGTTGCCCGCTCAGAAACACCGCATTCCACAACGCGTTTCGAAATTACTTGATCTCATCAAGTAGGGGTAGCAACCTCTCAAACTTGGGCCCAGGGAGTTGTTAGCCGAAACGTCCACTCCTCTAGTCTGAGTCACGACGGGCTTGTCGCTTATCACAACAGTTAATCACTGGATGGGGGGTCCTTTTGAAGCACTCGTACAAATGAAGTTGCTGTCTAACTAACAACTGCGCTCATCACTGCACAAGCTTGTGGATGGTTATCACGTTCGAACCCAATGAGAGTTTCTCGGATGGCAGTGTGGATATCCCACCCCCGAGCTCCAGGTGATGATTCGGACTTGCCAATTCGCATTTGTGAAGTAGTAACACCGGATAACTTTGCTTGTGTTCCATACATCACGATACTCACCTTTCTTTCATACCTGGTTGCTCTCATTTGCTTCGTTTGCCGTGTTCCAGCTCATTTAAATGAGATCTGCTCTCATTTGACACTTGGAGTACTTTATCCTCGTCTTTTGCTGCTTTCCTAACTGTCTGGCACGTGGTGTTGGTTGCGTCCAACTGATCTCTGACTGAGACACGCGTGAACACACAGATGTGGAACTACATGATGTGCCAGAAATGTTTCATTTATTTCAAACCCAAACTTCACACCGTTTTTTTCTCTTCAAAATAAGCTCCCTGGAGTCTAACGCACCTCTGTGAGGATTCCTCTTGGATCCTCCGTAGCTCCGTCCCCATGGCCTTTCCGTTGTCCTTCATGTCTTCAAAACGGCTCCCTTAATGACCCCCTTGAGCGAGAACTCACACGGAGCCAGGTAGAGTGACTGGGAAAGTTATTCCAGCACGGCGATACTCTCCTCCGACAGGAACTGTCGGTTGCTCAGGGCATTGTGAGCAGACAAGTTATTATTGTGAAGCAGCCACGAGTTGTCCTGACACAACTCTCGATTCTTATGCACTGAACGAAGTAAACGCTGTAGTATCTCTTTATAGACATGGTTAATCGTCCAGCTTTGTGGGAGGAATTCGCAGTGCACGATTTCCCTCACGTCGAAGAATGTGATTTATATGACTTTGGACTTCCACCCTTGTGCTTCCTTCGGCCTTGGTGGCCTCGTGCTTTTCCGCTGAAGACTGTCGTTTATTCTTCTGTGCACCCGACAGTCCGTAGCCGAATCAACCTCTTTACCCACTCGATCTGGCCCCGTGTGATTTTTCTTCTTTCCCAAGCTTAAGGGAGCAATCAAGATGGGCGGTTTTGAAGACATAAACGGCATCTAAATGGCCGCGACGACGGAGCTGCGGAGGACGTCGCAAGAATCCTTCCAGGAGTTCATGCAAGCGTGGTAGAGGAGGATGGGATAATGCATTCGACTCCAGGGGGTGAGTACTTTGAGGCGGCAAACTCATAGTGTGAAGTTGGCTTCGAAGTCACTATTTAGTGACACCAGTCCTGGAACTTTTTGTCACACCTCGTATGAAAAACCGTTTACGCAGACTGTCCGTAGCGAGTCAGCCCAAGCTTACTCTATCCTTTCTATGAGCGTTTTTTTATAAACTTCACGAATCAAGACGCGATGACAGCTCTTGCCATTATGCCCTTCTAATTCATAGCGGTCCAGTCGTGAATTTGTTTCTCTTCGGTGACGGATTTCGTTTGGCCACATCACTTAGTTAGCTTACTCCGCGTATCAACGAAGCTCGTGCGGTAGTGGTGGTGCTGGCTGGAGTGTACGCTGAGCTCGGCAGTTTTTTTGCAAACGTGTCGTCACCAACCAATTGCTGTTATGTAGCGGAACGAAACGATGCCAAACGCTTATCAGTGGCTCAATATATGGGTCAAGGGTCTAACGTACATTGTGGCAGAGGCATGTGGAAATCCCCCATGTCTGATCACCGATGCTTACGGAGTACTCTTCATATCTGATGGGCGCACCTCGTGACAACTACTGAAGTCTGCCAATTGGTGTTTGACACGAAACCCTTTGGTGCTTCACCGCTTACGTTTGTCAGATCTGGCGCTCTGCATGGCCGTTGATCACTTACCTCTTTGTGCCCTATATGCTATCCCTGCGTCTACTTGGGCTAAGCCGATTCGATGTTGTGGCGTAAAAAAGGCATGCATCTCGAGATGTGACAGTTGTTTGAGACCTTGTTCGATGTGGTCAGCTGTGGACTCCGTGGTCCTCCTACATTCTATCGTCATTAGTTTTGCTCACTTAATTTTTCCCTAAATCCCTCCTAGCTTCTACCTCCGCCTCATCATTGTTGTATTTTTCATGCTGGCACTGCGAATGTGTGTGGATCACAAATGTTTAGCCTACCCCAACTGACAATTCCGTCTACCGTCTTACATCATTCATTCTTTCTACTCCGTTATTGTTATTATTTTGGCTAATTTTATCAGGACAACTAACTAACTGATTACTGGTTAGAAGCAATGATTAGAGCTTGCTCTGTGTAGCTGCATCAATTGTCACTCATGGACAAGTACGCGTTATGTTGTGTTCCGCTCAATATATTTTGCGTCCGCAATGTGTTTGTCAAGGAACTTCTTAAATTCCGACACTGACTTTGCCTCAACTACTTGCTGCGGCAGGTTGTTCCATACATTCACCATTCTGCGTTCGGAGCAGAGTTGGTGAGCGACCCGCTTCAAATCCGGTACGACAAGTTTGTACCGTTGTCCTCGTTTGCTGCTTGGTGTGCGCAGATGAAGCAGTGATCTCAACCTAGGGTAATCACCCAGATGTAATATCCAGTGAGTCATGATGAGGTCAACCCTCAGTCGACGATAAGCTAGGGTGTACTGCCCTAGTTTGTTACACCGGTCTTCGTACGGCACACCTCGTAAGTTGAGAATCAGCATGGTGGCTACATGCTGCACTCGCTCAATCTTTTCTACCTCACCCCGGGCGATAGGACAATACGCGAGAGAGCCACACTCTAGCATTGATCGTATTATTGAAACGACGAGGCGAGTGTCAATCTCTTCGGACTAAGTGCTGAAGCTGTGCCTAAGCGCCCAAAGCATACGTAAGCTGTTTTGGTAAATCCTATTCGTGTTGTCCATGGACTTTAGGTCGTAAGGTGAGAGTACACCGAGGTCGCACACGAAAAGCGCGGGATGCAACGGTTGACCAGCCACCGTGTACGTTCGACTGCACTCACACTTACCCAGCCTCATGAATTGCGACTTGACCGGGTTGATCGGAAGGTTGACCTCTGCAGACCACGTGGAGAGGCGGTCGGCAGCATGAGGCACGTATGCTTAGGCATGATCGTGGTAAAAGGACAACGAATGACCGGAAAATGCACCAACTAGTCGCAAGTTTACCATTAACGCAACGGATATACGTATTTATGATTTGAGGGTATGCGAGTGTTCTCCGAGCTGGTTGATATGGTTGCAGACGTTTCATCGTCAGGCTAAACGACATCATCAGTGCGATTTATGCGAACTACTTGCAGATCCAAGTGATTGTTGATCACTTGATTCGAACGTCAGGAGTCTATTGGTCCACGTAAGCTGACCGTGTAGTCAACTCTTGCGTACTATTAGCTAGAGTCCGCCTCAATGATGTTCCTTTGTCTCTTTGATCTGAGGCGGAGTATTGTTTTAACCCTCAGTGTTTCATAGGCAGTATCAAGATCTAAGTATCGGTTGATTGAGTTCTTTCCCGAGTACCAAGCCTCGATGAACTCGCGTGCTTTTCGAGTTTTTGCCCTGCCTATTGTGCTGACATTCTCTAAATCAAACGGATGATTCTCGGCGTCCATATGTACCGACATCAGGGAGTTCTGGTCATGTCGGCGGATGGCTAGGCTATGCTCATGTAGCCTAGTGCCGAGCTTTCTTCCTGTCTGGCCCACATAATATTTGTTGCAATTTTTGCAGTGGATTTTGTAAATCACACCAGTTGTTTCTTCTTTGCCAAGCCGGTCCTTACCATTGAAGAGTTTGTCTCGGATGGTTTCCTTCGGCTTGTGAGCAACTCTGATTCCGGAAGGTAGTAGCAGTCTCGCCGCCATCTCAGAGACACCATTTATGTATGGTAGAATGATTTGCTCAGTTCTGTTATTTTCTACTTATTCGATGTCAATTTCATGTGCTTATTTTCTTTCAATTTATACCTTGGTTGCTTGAGATCCCCGGTGTGGCTATGCATGATGTGAATGATGACAAGTGCCTAACTGTTAACACCCTCCACCTAGATTGCTGACTCCAGCAGACTGAATCATTGCTCCCGTGGGACTGGGTGCATGGTCCTCGTGACCTTGCTAGACTCGAATTGTGGTTCCATCCAGTGTGGGACGGGCTACGGCCCAGCCAACGCCTTGTGTACGTCTGTTACGCATGATACTCCGCATGGATAGACAGGAATGCTGCTTTGTTGATGTAACGTGGCTCCTATCTACATGCATTCCGGTCTTATTCCTTCTGGTTTGCACCTGATATGGGGTGGGTGCATGGAACTGTGGGTGGTGCAGCGCAAGCCACCCATGGTCCTTCTGTAGGCCCAGGCTTCCTGTGCCTGTCCTTTGGAGGCCGCATTAATTGGCGAATCCGGAACCTGATACCGCCAACCATTTACTCGGATTTGTTAACGTGCCCATTTAATTTTAACTGTATTCGGTCGTTTCTCCAGGGTGAGGAGCTATCAAAAAAGAAGCTTCGAGTTGTTTGACTGACGTCCGTGGAATGGATATGCTGATCCGGATAAACGAAGGGCATCGACTTTAAATCGTGGCGAGTCCTATCTGCAACTTTGTAGGGTTGTTTAACAGATGTTTCATGGTTATTTATAGAGAGAACGCCTGCCATGCGAAAACCTACTACACCCTGGAACACTGCCACCGAACTATTTGTTGGAATGGGGTAAATCAGAACTATCCAGCTTGCACCACGCTGATGTTATTCGGCGAGTCACCATCCACCATACCTCGTTGCATGGGTCATGCTTGTCATACTGGACTGAACCGGTGAGATGTTGGTGTGTATGCTGAGCTGAGCGGTTCCATTGGAGTCGTTTGCCACCTATCGTGGTGACATCTTTAGTGCCTAGTAACAGTAGTAGCGGTAGGTACTCAATCCCCAGCTGTATGCTGTTACGACGCTTCGCTCCTACGCGAACATCACCAGTCGTGCGTGGGCTGAGTATACCACGAGGACGCCCGCCCCTCCGCGGATTCCTACCGGTGACCTTCTGATTGCAATCCAGGCATGCAGACCAGCCGGCTGTAGTAGCTTGCAGTAGCAATAATTTTGATTGGACGATCTGCGCTTCATCTAAATCCAGGTTGTATGTCACCGGCTGGTTGGTTGATTCCAACGTACATTTCCGAGGTTCCTACTCACTTTTCCGAATTTGCTGTTCAATGTTTCCTCGGCAACATTTGGGTAGTTTACATCGGCCACCGTAGCAACGATTGTTGCTACCTAAGTAGAATCTTCACACTCCCGTTCGCGCAGGAGACATATTGGCTGTGCACGCAGCTACTAAGACTGGTGCGTACTTTCCTGGTGGTTTTTTTAAACCTGGGTTTTCCATCCACCTGATGACCTGCCTTCCGTCAGCAAACTTTGCCAAAAACACTTCTGTATTTTTGGTCCCCTTTTCAGCTGATTCCGCATGTGCTTGCCATCGCCAGAATGCTTGTGTGTGTGTGTTGTGTGTGTGTGTGTGTGTGATCTGCACGCTCTTCTGCTTGAACGTTTGGTCCGTTTCATCAGTCATCTCATCCCCACCCCCTGGGTATTTTAGTTTCGCATCTATCTCTCGTCCGATTCACACACACACTTCAACCGGTTTCCCTATCCTCCATCTGACAGGTCGGTCAATACTTACTCGTTCTATTTGACCACTTGGAGCCGTATATGTGCAATGGCAACGATCCGGAGCTTTCTGCACCAAGAGATTCTTCTGACTTCACTCCTAGTCAGGCCTTGACTGAATGTCTACATTTGGGTAACCTCGAAGCGGCGAGCATACCTGCTAGGGTTGCATCTACCGGTCACAGTGAGGCGGAAGCTCACACTTCCAACTTACGACGTCGATTGGTCAGCCTGACCCACGATTCACGCAGATGCACTGAGATCGACGGTGGACTTCCTGTGTTTCGTTGGTTTGAAAGCTTCGTATCCGGCACTGCATGTGATTTGCTCGCAACAAACATGCTGCGCATTGGGGACGCGGCGGTAGCTCGCACGGAAAGTCGCTTGAGTCGGGGCCAACGCGGTGACGACACTGAGGATGAGAGCGAACTGCGACGCCACGAACTCCTTACATCACATGGAGCAAAACAGTTGGAGGTTGATCTCGGTGAGTTGTCTCTTATGCTTCATTTCGTTCACAGCTGTCGTTCGCTTCAGTTTTGTTGCACACGCTAACAGCCAGGATGGTACATCTTTCAGAGCTATGCTTTCTTCCTGAATTTACCCATCGTGGTCGGTCATCAGGAAACACGTACTCTCCCTCCCACCATGCCATCAACGGCGGGTCTCGAAGTCTGCTGATAGTAGTTACATTCTTCGATTTCCCAGTGATTCTGGGTTCTACTCTTTTTATATGCTCTGTCGATGCTGCACTCAACCCATATATACCCCGCCGGCTGGACTCCAGAGTTGGCAGGCAGGGGCTCAAAACTATCTTCTCACTACTTCGGCTTGTATATCCCTCTGTCTTCCCTGGGACTCCATTGGTTTTTGTCATTGTGCACTTAATAATCACGGGAATGTGGACGCTTCTCTTTCCCCCCTCCTCAGTTAGGATGTCTGCTGCTTAGCGGCAATTTCGAAGTCGACGATGTTCGTGTCAGACAGTAGCAATCGATCCCCTCCGATTTGCATAAGTCGCATTCATTTCATCAGTCCATGTTCCGTGGCTCACGTGATCCACCAGTCCGACTAGGCCATATGCTGTCAAGTACATTGGTTTAAGCTGTTCCCGGGGTGCTCTCTTGGATCTCCAATCTTGTTTGCGCGTCCTTCACTTGCATCTTTAGTTCTGACCACGGTAGCCGACTGTCCAATTACGTGCTTTCCTGTTCACTGTATGAACTCATAATTTGCGAAACCCAGTTATCGTTTACTAACCGCTGATTAGTCAGATGGAAAGACCAAATGACTGAATACGCCGTTCACGGCGCTTCATGCCTAAGGGGGGATCCTCCTCCACTCGCGCGCCTCCTCTTCGAATCCCTGTTGTTGGCTATATTTTCCGAAATTAGCTACTAGGGTTAGCTAAGAAAATAATATTCTCTTCATTCTTGAGACCAGTCGAATACGTTGTCAGATTGAGAATGACACAACGAGATTTGATGACAAGCCGTTACCCGAAAATGAAGAAAATACGCCACGATTTTGTAAGGTTTTGATTGCATTCTTTGAACGAGGAATCCAGCAGATCCTCGTAATAATAGGGGGCATGAGGAGTTTGAATGAAATATTCGAAGTAGCGTCGTCACGGCTGCTACACATCAAGAAAAACAATAGACAGTTACACTTTTTTCGGAATTCGTCCCAAGTCCTAACCCTACGGAGGGCTGGCGACTTGTGCATTACCGCCGATAGTTCCTGAAGAAGTGAAACGGCCGTACAGTTCTTTTTCGAATGCACTATGACTGTCTGTAACTAATGTTTTTTCACATTTATTTATCACTTCTTTAGACATCCCAGTGATATTAGTGTTCAAATTGAGAAATATCGTGAGCATAAAATGTGTTAAAGACATCTGGGTCATGTGGATTCATGTGAAATTATATTTTCAAAATACAAGGTCTGATTTGTTTGGATTTTGGCGAAATTGGCGGGTCTTTGTCGCCGATTGTTTTCAGCAAATGGGCAAGGCACACTTTATTTGTACAATCTGTTGGGTCCAACTAATTCACTATATAGATCTAGAAGTTGGCCTATGATGCCGATCTTTGAGATAAAACTGAGTCGTGGCTAAAGCAGTCTAGGCTGCAAACTATTACGGAGGGTCAAATTTAACTGCATCCGTTTTGTGGCATATAGGAGGTATTTCACCGACAGGCATCACAACACAAATTGCTTAGAAGTAAAGGTTGCAGCTAACCTACACCCCAGTGTTTCCGGTTTGGGGCCTGCTATCTGCCTGTTGAGGTCGAATAAGATCAGTTGGTTGGTTATTTAGTTGGCACCAATATATTCTATATTACTCATAAGTAGCAGGATTTTAATTGTAATTTTATAAGGTTTTCATCCAGCCTCAATAAAATTACAGCCAAAATCCTGCTACTTACGAGTAATATAAAACAAATAGCCTCTCCTAGTTTTAAAATGCTATGGATATAGCGTCTAGCGAGAGGAAGTCATCACCTCGCAGGCTAACCACTGTCAGTGACAGTGAAAAGGTAGGTGGTGTTATATCCCAGTTAGTTTGCAAATTATGTAGTCCAGCCAACGTCCTCCATGGCTCAATGGCTTAAGCTGCTGGCTACTTCGCATCTGCCACTAGCTATCATGGGTTCGATCCTCCTTAGAGGACCGAGGGAATGCGCGCCACTGACGAGCCCCAGTAAGGGCAAAACGCGTCCGGTACTTTTCCTAACTAGGCTGTGCTATGTAGCTTGTGAACTACTGGGATGAATACCACAACAAAAACAATCAATTCACTTTTGCTTCATTACCTATGGTCCTAGTGATGGAATTGACCAACGTTCACTTTATTACGAATCACGGTCTACAATGAAATTGCGCTTCACAATGGAATCTCACATGTACTTCAAAATGACCCTCCAGTCACGTTAAAACGAATTACTGATAAGAATGTGTGACCATCCTCAAAATTAAAACAATTGATTCTTCGCAATAATTTGAAAAGTACTGTAAGAAAACGAAGTTGGGCAAGTCTGTGCATTTCGCATCGTCTCTTCAGTGCCGAAAACGATAACCGGAAACTACATACAACCACTTGTGCTTACAAACATACATACAATCGAAGTAGAGGAAAAACGGATGTCTTAACTCTACTGCTAAGCCAACCTGCGGCTTACCGATAATTGCTTTGAACGCAAAGCTCCGGTTTATTGCAACAGCCTCGGCGAAAGGAAGGAGCCGGAAATTGATACACTGCAGCAGAACTTTAAACGTCGTGTTGACCTCAACCTGGTGACCTGAGACCAATTAATGTCTATCGATGGGAAACAGTTGGCGATCTGCGCGAACGCGTAGCCAGCATTAGGCATGCTTCCAGCGGAGTCTCGCATTAGGCCCACACTGGCACGTGGTTCTACATTCGGGTACTCAGGATATTATCGATTCTTTGTGCACAGCTCTGCTGTTGCATGTGAATTTGTACACACAACGGGAATTGGCTCCGACAGGCTGAATTTCCTTTAGTGGACGTAGCGGCAGCTAGTGGCTTCCGTGAATCACTACAGCAGCACAAAATGTGCTTGGTATGACGAAGATCAGATGCCTGATATCTTCCAATCATCTGGTTTGTCTATGATTCTCGATGAACCTTCGAGGGTAGTCGGATGCAATTAACCCGCTACTGCATACTGTTGCCTGTAGGCAGCATACCAGCAAATTGTCCGCCAACTAGCCTTCTAAGTTCTCTTGATAGAACAGATATATACGATTTCTTTCGATTGTCTGTCGTTCTGTTTGACCGCAAAGTCATCTATAAAACTCCAAATCAGAGGAGTTATTTGGGGGGAAATCAGCAAGCTTTCGCTTTTGACTACACATGCTCCATGCGACACAGGGTTAACAATAATAATAATTCATTCTCGATTTTACAGGACTGTCTTAGCTGTAAGGTCCAGTATCAGGCCACGTAGGTAGGTAAGCACGGTTCAAGAAGTAGATCAGAAGTAAAAGCATTGAAAATAGAGGGCTTATGTATTTTCATTATAGTGGGGTGTGCATCTGGCGCCCGGTATGTAACAAAAACTCTTCGCTGTAAAGAAGTAATTCTACAACAAAATGACTTGGACCATTACTGTTCACTTGTAATTTCCAGATAATTCATGTATGTCGCGCGACAATTCTGCTTACTTGCAGCGTTGCATTACTATTTTTTCAACTATTCCAGCTTCTCTTGAACCCGACACTTTTCAGCTACATGTTAGAATAATAACTATTTGACATTCATTCTTTTGTGAACGAGCCTAATATCCATTCCTTATTCTTCCTATTTTCTACTTCTTCACTGTTGTTTTAACGCTCCACTGTGTTAGCCCGATTGGTACACGCACCTCATTGTTAATGGACGCTCATTTCCGTGTCATCTTCAGCAGTGCCATTTGCAAGAACACATTCCATTGCTTTTTCTCCGCATCACTTTTCTACTTGATTATGTTAAAGGAATAATTAGTTGTCACACAATCAGTGTACTCATTTTTAATTTTCGGGTCTGCACTTCTTACTCTGGTTTGGTTCGCTACATTTGTTTAAATGCTTCATTTCGTAATTCTGATTGGCCCGTGCCCGTCGCTGTAAATGGATGTTCGCTTTACGCTTGGGGTCCCATGGTGTTCTTTTAAGGTCACATGCGATTCGCTCTTGATCACACGGCTACTTATTCGCCCTTTGCGTTTGATGTTTTCCTTCTGTTGGTTGGCTCAAGTGTAATTTACTAGCTTCCCTTCCTTTTGCCTTCAAGACTATATAAGCACATGTGTTTTCCTGTATACCAGTCTCTTTCCGGCTCGTCTTTGGACTTCTTCTTGCGGTCGTGGGGCCAAGGCGTCAGTGACGACACCACATTGCACCCATGAACACAATTGGGGTTTCATTCTATTTACATTTTGGTTTGAGAGCCGCTATTTTGTCACCCTTTGTCTCTTGTTTTCTCATCGGATCGCGAGTACGCGTACAACAGGATCCGTTTCAAACCGAACCGCGCTAAAAATTTTAGACCCAACAGGTTTCTGGTATAATTGAGGGAACACCGCCTCTGTTATGATTGCTTAAATGCATGATAAGATTGTCGCTGGCACGGTTGAAGCTCAACCACGATGAGGGCTTGTAACGCTGGTCAATCGAACGGAGTTGCGCTAACCTGATGACGTTAGCTTAGCCGGTGAGACGGAAATTGAGCTAGCTTGAGAACGATCCTAGCCGCACGTGTTCGGGTAGACACTGAGCCCTCGGAACGGACGCACACGAGAGGGGGTTACGATAGGCGCGCGCTAATGACTTAGACGCGAACGCTGGCCTGCTAACGGCACACACAAAATCACGTGACCCGACCGACCCAAGTAAGGCGAAGAGGAAAGGAAGGCGGTCCTCTGAAGGCCCTTTTACGACCAACAATGGGCGCATCACAGCCAATGCTATGGGTTATTATGTTAGGGAAAATTTTTACCACGACGAGGTGGTAGTTTGTAAAAGATGCGCAGTTGGGCCGCGTCTCGGAGTAGCTGATCACTGCTACGTTATGGGGAGGAATTGGACCCCGCGTCTCACAGCCATTCTGCCGGGGTTTCTGACGCGTTTTTGCGGGGATTTTTGATGGGCTCGCAACAGTTTCATTATTTAGCCTGTTGCATTACTCACCCTTCGTCGGTAAACCATACTTGTTCTTAACTCCGCATTGTTCTAACCACCTTCTTCCGTTGTTTCTATCCTTTCTTCTTTGTCAGGCTATTTACAACACCTGCTGGACGACTTAGGCCTCAGTTTCCCAGGTCACTTGCAAGCTCTCCGCGAACTGATTAGCTGTCCAGCCGATCGATTTGCCAGTGTCAGTGCAAGTCGACCGCCGTCGATTGTAAATGCGATCGCGAGAATTCGTGGTCTGTGACGCTCGTGTGTCTTGGCTGTGCTATAACTGTTCTCTTAATCTACTGGCTTCCTTTTAACCTGTTTCTTCTTTCCCTTGTTACTTTGTAAGCAAGCGGTTTTCAGCTTGTTCTCTTCTTTTATCTCCTCTTCAGTTTGATGTCTTCTCCGATGAATTTGCATGAGTCGGGACACTTCGTTCACAATAAAATAGACTTTGTTTTGCATGTATTTGTGGATTGTCATGTTTATAAAAGATACGTTGATTGTTGCAGTTCGACTCCTTGAGATAAAAGTGTGAACTGTTCATCACCGGTAGGGATTTGCTTCTCCCCAGTAAGTAGATGAGATTTACCCAGGAATGTCCGTCCACAGAGATGAAGTGTTCTTCGAGATAATCTTCGGCCTCACTTTTCATTAGCTAACTTCGTGTTTTTTTGACCATAAGTGTGCTGCTCTGTTTGCACTTTTCCATAAACATTTACGTTCTTGCACCAGTACGCTTCCTCCTTTGACGTAGTTACGCAAACTACGTGGAATTCCCCGTAGTGCACACGAACATCAGCCAGTCAGCGGACGCGTGCTGCGTCTATTGATCGATTCCGTCTGGTTCGTTTCCAATAGGCCATCCGGCTCTTTACTTGGATTCATTTGTTCACATTGCTCCTACAATATTTACAGCCGGCTCGTTTAGTGAGAGAATGGCGAAGAATGGACGCTGTCAATAGCACTAGCACCTCGCATGTCGACGCTTTTCTGCTACACACACCGATGACTGCATGCAGATCGCCCACATCTACGCAGGCCCCAATCGGCAGCGTACGAAGTATAAACTAGTTGCATTAGCCAATCCGTCACCAGCCGGTTTAACCATTTTAAGCCGGCTCACATATTTCCGTAGAATGGTCTAGAATCGTCCCACAATCTATTTCTATCTGTCTCAATGTTTAGCCATTTAATACTCGACCGATAACTCACCTCGTTCAACGTGGTGAGGGCGACTTCAAGAAGCCATGTGCGCATTGGGTGCTCGATCGAAGAATGACATCACCACCACGCCGTACCAACGCTTAGCTGCCACGTAGTCACCACTAGTCTCGTACGGGCTAATGATGGTGCGAGACAGAGCGCACGTACGCAGATTCGAACCGGCGATCAGCTGCCTGAACAGCTCGACTGCCGATCTGATGAAGGAAGACACACTAGTAATGTTTGACATGTGGTCCTCTTTTCGCGTCATGATAATCGAATTCATGACTATTGAGCTACGATGTCTGCTGCGTGGTTGTTGGGGTACGCCAACTGGCGTGGTTCTACACGTTGCAGCCTGTTTTTTGCCTGGTGATTTAGACGTTTGGTTTGCGGCGCACGGGCCAATGGTCTCAGCCTGCTTAGGTGCCGGTGAACTCAACGTATCCCAGCTCACATACAGTCACCGGTAATGTTGTGGCTGCGATGCGTTTGCGCGTAGTCCCGAAATACTGCTGACACTTAAGTCCGACCAGTGGTGACAGAATAACTCCGGTGTCTGGTTTGCAATCAACGGGTTACTGGTCCGAACATGTTGGTGAGTTCACCCACACTCAAACGCTAGCAGTTGCGCGATAATGGTGCGTCGGTTCGAAGCTTCGTTACCGGCTGACTGGAAATATTCGGTGGTGAAGCCTATTCCGAAAGGCAGCGACCGTAGCAAAATAGACAACTTCAGGTCAATTTGTCTGACACCTATTTTGGCAAAGGTTGCCGAGAAAATCGTGAAGAAGAGATTGCCGCAGTTGCTGCAGTCAAACGAGATCTTGATGCCTACACAGCACGGTTTTATGCAAGGTCGCTCATGGATTACGAACCTGCTTGTGACGAGGCATGAGTGGTTGAAGGCAATAAGCAAAGGGAAGTCCGTCGACGTGATATTCATCGATTTCAGTAAGGTGTTCGACAATTTCAGCCATGAGGTTCTCCTTCACAAACTCAGGATGTGTGGTGTCGGTGGCTCACTGCACCAGTGCATCCGCGACTTTCTTGTTGGACGAAGGTGGAGGGTACAGGTGGACGACCATCAAAGTGAATCATCCCCCTCTACTAGTGGCGTGCCTCAAGGCACTGTGCTGGGGCCCACTCTGTTCCTGATGCACATCAACGATGTACCTCAGCTTCTCCGGTCGCCGTGTGCGTTGTTTGCGGACGACATGAAGATTTGGAGAGAAATTTTCGCTCCTGATGACTGTGGCCTACTTCGGCAAAACCTCAACCGCCTATCCAAATCGTCTGCAGAAGTTCATCTTCCGGTCAACCCAGCCAAGTCTGTATTTATGAGCTTGGGGAAGGGTGCTGACGGCCGAACCTACATCCTTGACGGCCAACCGATATATCCCACACCCTCCGTGAGGGACCTAGGTGTACTCTCGCGCTACGATTTGAACTCCATGGACAGAACGAACAGGCTATTTCGTAACCGACTACGCATGCTTTGGGCGCTCATACGTTGCTTCGGAACATGGTTTGAAGAGGTTGCCACTCGCCTGTTCTCTTCTATCATTAGATCAATGCTAGAGTACGGTTCGCCTGTCTGCTTTCCGATTACCCGAGGCGAGGGACGAAAGGTCCAACGGGTCCAACACCTTGCTCCCAGGCTCATCCCGAGTTTACGTGACTTGGGGTATGAAGACCGGTGCGAGAAACTACGACTCTACACCTTGTCCTACCATCGGGTGCGAGTCTACCTCATTATGACCTACCGTATTCTACATCTTCATGACTTCCCAATGCTAAAGCCAATGCTGCATTTACGAGGGCCATGCAGCACACGCGGACACAGATACAAACTTGTCTTGTCGGATGTGAAATGTGTTCCCCACCCACTGTGCTTCGAACGGAGAGTGGTAAATATTTGGAACAGTTTACCTGATCATGTGATGGAGGCAACATCTGTGCAGCAGTTCAAAACGGTGTTAGATTTATATTTTACCACTATTCGATTCATAGAGCGATTACACGCTTACGATGGCATATCACATTTGTGAGTCCTAACATATCGGGAGTTATTTATTTTAAATGTTACCTGAGAATGATAACGAAATTCACTGCTGACAACTTTTATAACGTTTTCCACCAGATTTCGAAAGAGTTGTACAAAATTCATTTCTATTTGCTCTATAATTCAGTATTCGCTTAATATCTACCTTTGTTCGGTGACCATCAGCTCCATAGACGAAATTCGCACCACGCCTTCGCTTTTGTCTGATCCAACATACTTGTGCGTATGTCGCATCTGAGAAGTTGCTCGTGTGTGATGCCTACATCATGTAAGCAGAACGGAAATCCGTAGCCCATTGTTTGGAGTCAACAATCCTATCTTTGAAACGTTCTCCGACATTGTATGCGTTAGCTGGACCATGTACTTCATAGTAGTCACCAACGAAGAACTGGAAATTGTTTGGGTGATCATCGATATTCCCCTAGGCCACAGTGATCATGCGGCCTTGCACTTCATTTACACTCGCCATGCAGAATTCTCCAACTACAGGTACTATAATACGTTACGACACAGCTAGGTTAGTTGGAACGGCTAACTGGAATTTCTTCGCCGAGCTGACACTAGATATTGCCTAGGAAAGTCTCGTCAATAAGTTTAACACCCTGGTTGCTGATGCATCGGAAACTTAGGCTATCCGTTCCAGCAACTTGTTCTCTTTTGTACGGAGTAGGATACGGAGATGAATGGCGACTGGGAACGCCGTATGGTATACTCACAACACCGACCCGCTCTCGAATAGCTGGAGGATATACGCTGTCCATCGAAACGATTTATTCAACTAGTTTGCATGGACAGGCTTTAAGAGCACGATTTGTTTCTGATCACAACTTACTGAACAAAAAATATGTGAATAGCGTTCGCAATCTGGAACATGGGATTTCCCCCTCTTATGACAGCGGATGGACCAACATGTACCGCCAAAGAATCAGCAAATGCACTGCAGTGGCAATACGCGCCAACTTTCTACTATGTTCTTGAGTATCCTAGCCCATTAGAATGTGTTGTGCCACTATCAAGATTTATTCATATCGACTTTATGGTAGACGCAGATCTCCCGGAAGCGATGATCTTCGTCCGAAAGCGCTTTCTATATCACCTAAACAATTATGCCGAACCTTTGGCATAATTCTTCCAGCACTGCGTTGTTCGGGGTATGTTCCTACAGCATGATAACATATGACAACAACTGTAGTTTACAAAAGAAACAGTCGTTCCGACCCAGATTAATACCGTCCAGTGACTCCTCTTCCAGTTCTTTCAAGAGTCATTTAGGCTATCACTGCGGACGCGATCATGTCTTACCTTGACAAACTGGACTACATCGCGCAAGAACAACATAAGGCAAAATCATCAGCAATACGTAGGTACGCGTTACTGGCGCTTCGCTGCCACACAACCACCACCAGTCGCACGCAGGCTAAGGATACTACGAGGATCGCCCGATCCCTACGCAGGCTCGGATCCGCGCCGTCGGCTTACGAGGCAAGTTTGTAATACTTGAGGCTTTCGCCGGAACCGACCATGCAGTGCCAATTTACTGTTAGCAAGGAACAGTGAATGTTGATGTAGGCGATTGTGGTTGTCTAGCCCTACTTCTCTAAGACAATCAGTCGGTTGAAGCATTGAATCCTACTTGCCAAGCTTCATGAGTGCGGCATTGGTAATCTCTTCCCTGTCTGTATCAGCAACTTTCCCTTGCAAAAGCGTCGAAGGGAAAGTACGTGAAACATTATCAGATGCTATACAAGTGGAATGCGGTGTGCTGCAAGGTTCGGTACTGGGACTCCGTCTCTTTTTGGTTTTCATTAACAATCTAATGCGCTTAATCACTTCACACTGTTTGATTTACGTCGGCGACATCCACATTTGAAGGTTGATGAAAGCTTCCAACGACCACACACGGCTTAAAAACCACCTCGACAAGATTTACACATGGTTAGTCCACAATCGTCTTCAGCTCAACGTGAGTAAATGTCGAGTACTCCGTCTACGACACTAACTGTTTCTCACCTCTAAGCTTAGACGACCAGGATCTCCAACACTGTGCTTGGGAAAAGGCTCTCGGTGTATTGATTCAGGAACACCTTGGCTTGTCGGAGTAATCTGCCCTGGCATTAAAATTTTTGCGATCCCATAGCTGCCTTTTAGTCACTGGTCCATCACACGACCTTACGTCGAATATGCGATTCAAGCATAGCGGTCATGGATGAAGCGGAATCTCACTGTCTTGAAAATTCCC